CTACTTTATTTTGGCGCCCTAAACCTGAGACGATAATTCTTCTGTTATTCGTTAAATATGCAGTACAGTACTCCGTACAAGGCCGGGCCCTACTTATTGTTCCACGATACTATCTAGCCCGTGAATCACACACAACTAGTGACTGGCTTGTTCCATCTGGTAAACTGCCGTTTTGGCACGTTCTCGTACATCCAAATCTTCGCCCTTAGTAAGAGCCTCCATTTTCGTAGAGAAGCCGAGCTTCCGTAGCTCCAGCGCTCGCAGACCACAGGCCTGAGCCTCACTATCGTCGTCCTTATACGTAAGATTGATAATCACGTGACACAGAGCAACCCGGACTTCGCGATCTTTGCTGTTAGCTTGCTGCGCTAGTAATTTCATCAGATCCGTCTGTGCGATGATCATTTGTTGATGGCGTGGAATGCTCGCCGCGATGTGTGATAGGATGTATAACACAGCAACCACAAGCTTGGCCTGTGGGTGGAACACTTTGGTATCTCGACCCCCCGACAGCGAAGATCGATGGTTGTTGAAGGGCCGGTACACCTTAGCCCGTAGTTTTGACGTGAGGATATTGAAAAATTCGGCAGAATCGAATTCGTGCAGCAGATAATCGATCATCTCCGAGGTTTCGTTTGACGGCTCTGGTGACAGGCCACTCCTTGGTCTTCCAATCAGGTTTCTGATCATGTCCAGACCCTGTTCCTGAATTGCCAAATCATCATTTCGTGCTTTCTTGACTGGATTTAACTCGGACTCTCGCACCGCTGCGAGCTTGTCCTCCACCTGGCGAAGCCTTGAAGAGTTGGCCGCATTAAGTTCTTGGAGCACCCCATTGGAGCCGTATATCCACCTATGTCGCTCGTCCACCGCTTGCATATCCACGTCGTCTCGCGCTTCATGTAGAGCCATGTCTTCTGTATCGTCGCGAATGAGCCGCAAAAGCCACTGAGAACCAAGCCTTGCCAGACACGCCTTCTTCAAGTTGGGATCAACAGCATCCAAAAAATGCTTGAGCGCCCATAACCCATTGAGACGAAGAGTCGGGTTTTCTGAATGGGCATGGTCGCAAAGAATAGGTACAACACCATTTTCCTCAAGAAGCTGCAAGAATTAGTGGCTCGCTCTTACAAGTAAACAAGCTCTCAGACTCACCTCGCGCACTGGGCTGACTTCCAGAACCAAGTTACATATAGCAGAAGTAGCCGCCATTTGGACGCCAACATCCGAGTGTTTCATGAGATGTAAGATGGGGATGGCAACTCCATGATCGACCAAGGATGTTCGTAGGATGCTCACCGAACGAGAAAGCATCCTAGCAACATGACATCCGGCGGCAATTACAGAGGCAGGATTGGCGCCATATCCTGGTGTTTCCTCGTTCCTGGTAGAATCAGTACCTGCTTTCTCTGAAGTTCGCTCCTTCGCCGACTGCGGTCTCCTCGGATACTCCGAAAGTGACTCAACAACGTATGGAACCACATCACTAGTCACGAACGCCTTTCTGTAGTCTTCCTTGCCTCCTGCAAGGGCGGCGATGGCTTTCAGAGTGCTCTCTCGCAATTTGAGCCGGTGAACCAAGAGTTCGTTTTGACCCCCCTTTCCAAGCCGGGCAACTGGAGAATTACTCTCAACGTCCATTTCAACGTCTGCTTGCGGCGACCAATGCTGAGGCTGCTCGCTCTCTTTGACGGGCGTATAAGCATGCTTGAGAAGTTGACTTAAAATATAGACAGCCTGGCAGTCGAAGGCTGCTTTTTGAAGATACTCGCTGTCTGTAATCATGCGAGCTAGGACCACTGGTGCGCGCTCAAGGATGATACGATTAGTGGGGTCATCGGCCTCGTCAACGGCCGAAATCCATTTGTCCTCCTTTGATATTAATCCAACAAGTAAAGGAACCACAAGGAGCCCCAGGCTTGCTTCTCTAGAACCCTTACTCGTCACACCACCCTTAATAAGTGCGGCGAGAACGGAAGCGGCGAGGAGACGTTCGTATTCTTCCGAGCGCCTCACCAGACGGACCAACCAGGGAATAAAGGGACTCTCGATCTCTCCATTACCCCCTTCGTTTGGTGCCGCTGACGAGTAGCGTGTAGCCTCCCACATAGCTGATGAGCTAAACTTGCCCAGAGATGATCTACTAGATGATTGCGAGTCTGACGAGGCACTAGGCGCTGAGCTGTACGGGGATCCAGAGGGGTTACGGGGCAGATTGACAGGAAGCATATACTCCATGGCAGTCAGTGGTTGCTGACGACCGCTATCAGGTCCTGGCTGTTCCATGTCTGAGACCTTGGAAGGTTCAAATTTGATCGGAGGGAATACAGCGAGGATGGACGGCGAGTGGGCTAATCTGTTTGCTCGGTATTTTGAATCTCCCAGTATAGCAGTGATGGCTTCGAGTATCGAGCTGAGCTTCAAATTCCTGGGTGCAGGTTCGGGAAAAGCCTCGAAGAGACCATCGTCGCGCGCCAGAGAATCGGCACCAGGGACAACCTCTCCACGAAGAACAGCAACACTGGCCAACCGTGTTGCTAATGCATCTAGAATTCCAGAAGTCGCCAGAGCTTGCTGGTGATGCTCTTGGTGACAAAGCTTAGATATCAAGCCTGCCGCAAGTGTAACTTGGGACTGAAGGATGTGGTCCGGAGAGGTGATGGATAGCATTGCCCCAAAAGCGTCGAGGTATTGGGTTGAAAGAACGGTATCGGCAAGTATCTCAACGTTGAGACTCGAAGATGGCGCAACCAACATACAAGCATTTGCAATATCAGTCAGCGCCCTAAGCGCCGCTACAACGAGTTGTGGTGCGTTGGTGAAAGGACATATGTTGGCCATGAGGGCAGGAATCGCCTGCGCGGAATCGAGAGGCGCAAGAAAAGCAGGACCTCCTGTTGACATCCATCAGCAACTGCCATAATCTATATAGACAAACTTCTTGGAGGCATACCATTCGCAAAGCAGGCTATCAATTGTATTGCCTGTAGCCGCATGCCTTCATCTTCTGATAGGGGTCGTTGCGTCTGAGGGGATCGAGAGTCCTTGCCAGTTGGCTTGGAAGATGGTGTAGCATCGACTAATGTTGTGACGATAGGGTCAAGTACACCCAATCCAATCCATTGCTCTTTTCTTTGCACATGGCCGACTATTTCGTTCTTGAGGGCACGTAAAGCACTGGTGCGCTCAGTCAAGCTTCTAGCATCCTGCAATTGAGCCAGTATCGGATGGCTTTGCGCTGGAGCCATTTGGTCGGTTTATGTATTACAGTAAGAATTTTCGATGATAGTAATCGTAAGGGGTTGATATTAGAAAGTGCCCGATGTCGTATGTCGATGGATGGGAATGTGGTCGTGCTCCGAAAGTAAGTTTCCAAGAAGTCGAGGACACTTGCGAATGATGCTGGTTGGCGCCTTCCTATCCAATGAAGACTGATGCTCTGATAACTCCTGACACAAGTGTGATGAAAAGAAGAATGAATAAGAAAAGACCTATGCAAGAACTGATTCAAAAGCGTACAGCCGTGATACGGTTTCTTTTGTTGCTGTAATCCAATTTCAAAACCATCAAACACGCGAGTTTGTTCTCGAAACCAGAACCAGAACCAGAA